ATTCCATTTCGTATTCTTAACTTACTTACTCCTATTCAAACTCATTTATATTCATTTATCTCGTCTTGAACCTTAATATTCTCTCCTCTTTATAACTTCAAGAATTATACCAGATTTTCAACATGTTTCAAAACTCATTTTATCACTTCATATCTCTTAATTTAACCCTTGACAAGTCAAATTTATCTTCCAATTTGAGTAATGAACTCTATTTCAAGATTTCACTCAAGAACCCCAAATCTTTAATCCCTCCTAACTCCATCATACTTTGATTTTAAGATAACTTAAGCTTTCCTTAACCTTAGTTATCATCTAATAATCAAAACCCAACCTTAAAATCAACAATTAATCCATAAACAAAGAAACTCACCTTTGAGCTTGGAGATACGGGAGGAGGAAGAAGAAGAAAGAAAATTCTGGATAATTCTCCTTTTCCACGTGGTTCCTTATCTTATAAAATAAATATAAAAAAATCTTACTTGTCAATTGACCATTTTACCCTTTAATTCATTCCATAATTACTAAATAACCTTCATCATATTTTCAATAAATCATTGAACTATTCAGTTATCCTACTTTAATCACCAATTTCTAAAACTTTACAATTTGGTCACTAACCCGATATTGAGGATATTACAATAATAATAACCGAGCAATCATTGAATAAAATTGAGAAAGTGGTCAGGTTGTTAAAAGATCATTTTTCGTTGAAGGATTTAGGGGAACTACACTATTTTCTGGGCATTGAAGTCAGAAGATGTGAACAGTTATTGATGCTTAGTCAAAAGCAATATATTTTAGAATTACTTGAGAAAGAAAAAATGACTAAGGCCTCGTGTACCTCTACTCCTATGGTTGCATCCTCGCAATTGAAGAATGATGAAGGGTAATTATTGGCTGATACACGAGAATTTCAGAGTCTAGTAGGAGGGCTGCTCTATGTGTGTCACACAAGACCCGACATTGCCTTTAGTGTGAACAAAGTCGCCCAATATATGCATGCACCAAGAGAGCAACATATGCTTGCTGCTAAACACATCCTACGTTATTTAGGTGGGATATTGGATTATGGTTTGGGATTTGTTCCAGTCAAGTTGCATATATCAGCTTTCTCGGATGCCGATTGAGGAAGATGTGCAGATGATAGACGGTCGATGTCTGGCTACTGTGTTTTTGTTGGAGGAAGTTTGGTGATTTGGAGTACGAAAAAGAAGAAGGTGGTGTCTCGATCAACCATGGAAGTTGAATACAGGAGCCTTGCTGACACAACAGTTGAAGTAGCGTGGGTTGATGCTTTGCTCACTGATTTGAAGGTATCACAATGCAATCAACCAACAATATGGTGTGATAATACCAGCGTGATTGCGTTAAGTGCTAATCCAGTGTACCACTTGCAGTCCAAGCATGTCGACTTAGATGTACACTTTGTTAGGGAAAATATAGCTGCAAATCAACCATGTGTAAACTATGTTCCAACAACTCATCAAGTTGCTGATGGCTTGACTAAACCCTTAGCAAAAGTTGCATTTGCCAGCTTTCGTGACAAGTTGAATGTGTGTTTGTTTGCTGAAGAGGGGAAGAAGCAGGGAGAATGTTGAGAGAATGAATGATGCAGTTCGTGAGAAAGGAGTGTGCGTGTGTGTAGTGCCAAGCATGGCTCACGTTTAGTTCATGTATATCTGGGTGTAGAGAAGTTCTAGAAAGAGCAGTTCTAGAAGACTAGGTTGCTATGAATTTATTACAGTTTGTTAATTAGTTACAGGAGGTTGCTGTATTGTTGTATAAAACCATAGTACTACATACTATAAAGGAGAATCAATTCATTCAATCAAGAAAGTATTCACTCGTGTTCTTCTTTTGCATTTATGCAATATCCCAACAGAGGAGAATAATGTAACCGTAGGGGTTACTGTAATTTTATGCATGTCAAGGTAATTGGGAGGGAGCTGAGAAAGAAATTGTTCAGAAGACACCGATGGTATAGACTATAGAACTAGTCGTAGCAAGAGCAGGAGTGTCAGACCTCGCCACCAGGGCGAGAGAGATTATAGGTCTCAGTCCCATGACCGAGAGCGTGACCCGGCCGCGATGATTTTCGTGATAGGAATGGACAAAGATTGGATAGGCATGACCATGACCAACGCAGCAGACAAAAGCATGGGAATCCTGAGCCAAGCAGAAGCCCTCCACCCGCTAGGGAAGGAAGTGAGAAGCGAAGAGCAAGGATTGAACAATGAAACCGAGAGATGGAAGAGAAAGCCTAAGAAAAGATTGTTATGTTTCTATATTTATATTTCTTCCTTTTTGGTAATTGTATCTAATTGTGGATTCCAGTTCATGGTTTTTTTAATGTTTCTTCAATTTGGGTTGAACTTAAGTATTCCCTTAGACAGATGATCGGAACAATCTTTAGCTGTAACAATGGTAATTTTTCTTCCTAGTGTCTGCTTTAAAGGAAGTTCTTGTGCTATTGAATAGTTAAGAGTTTCAAATTTCAAGCTACTTTCTTAGATTTACCTACCCCTGTTTTTGCTTTAAGCTTAACTTGTAAACCTGCCTTTGAGGCTGTTCTTTACGGGTAAGGTTAGGGCTGCAAATTAGCGGTCTCGAGCTCAAGTATTGTTGAGTTCAACTCAAAAAGTTTAAAGCTAAGTTCGACTAAATTTGAAAGCTTACGAGTTTAAAATTATTAAGGTTGAATCGAACTCGAAATAAAAAAGTTGAAGTTCCACAACTAGAAAAAACTTGAACTCAAGTTCGGTTCAAACTGGAGTTTGAACTTGAACTTTATATACACGAAAACCTTATATTGTATTTTTATATAAAAAGCCACGTATAAATGTTAATATTATAAATAATTTAATTTAAAAAATTAAAATTTTAATATATTATATATTTTTTTTCAGTTCGTGAACTATTTTAAGTTGTGTGTTAAATAATTTATTTCGGTTAGTTAAGAACTTGATATGAATGTATTGAAATTGAATATTGATCGAGGTTTAACATAATTGAATTTGAGTAGCTTATGATCTATTTAGTCTCATTTGCAATCTTAGAGAAGGTGAAGGCTTGGTATTATTTTTGCACTCTGTCATTCACTAATACTGTTGTTCATTTGTTTATTCCTATTATTTTCATTATTGCAATGGAATATCCAGAGAAGAGAGCTTAGGCCAAATTCTAGAACTATTTTCAATTGTTTGAAAAAGAAATCCCCTAGAAGATGACCATGACTATGAAATTCATGTCCACCTCCTCTCTCCTATATGTGTTATATAGGGAAGCTCCCCTTTTCTGGGAATTGCATTGTTTTGGCTCTTGTTTCATTCTCATGTAGGCTTTCCCTTGGTCGTCTTTTAACTTGTCAAGATTCAATGGGATGACGGCTTTCCAAATTTGTTGCTCGAGAATGCTTTAGAGCAAACTCTGCATCATTGTTTTGATAAGTTTTTTTCAAAAATTAAAATTTATAGCTTTTAGTTTTTGTCAAAAACAACTTCTGATTTTATTTATATTACATGTTCTTTTATATTTAAAAAATGTCTAAAATAAAAATTTATTCATTTAAAAGTATTTTTGATAATCATATTAAATATTTAAAATTTAAATTATTAATTTATAAATTCCAAATATACATTAAATAGTTTTATAAAAAATACAAATATTAAATTGAGTATTAATATCTGCTGAGATCACATTACCAGGCCCTTTCACAGCCTGCTTTTGTTGGCTCTTGTAACTGTCCATACGAAACAAGCAAATTATCAAAGCCCACGTCCAATGGAGACATGCGCATCTGCCCTTGTTCTTAAGATCGGTCTCATCAAAAATTTATACATATGATTGTCCTAACTCGATTAATCATGCTGTTTTCGTCGATGCTATTTACGACAGATGCAATATAAGTACTTTGCTAATTAAAAAATGTATTGTTTAGATTATTACTTTTTAAATATTATAAGATGATTGTTAAAATTATCAAAATATTACAAAGTGATCATTAAATATTTGAGAAAATAACTTCAGTGACCAAAAATCTTAGATAATATATGATTTTGACCAATTTTTTTTGGATTTGCGAAAATGACCAACAAAATCGCAATGCAATTATTGCAATTTTAAGCAAAACATTCAAAAATAATATCACTATTTAAGGCTCAATCCCACATAGTATTGGGAACAATTGTTGGTAATGCTCAAATCCCACATAGTATTGGAAACACTATTGGGAATGATATTTAAGGCTTGACTTTCCCACTTCCTTGTTGAGTGATAGAGAACAAGGGGACTCTCGCGCGCCGCCGCCGCCGCCGTCCGTTTCGTCTGGTCTCGGATCGGGTCGTGGTCGTGGTAATACGTGTTTTCGACACGTCCGAGCGGATACTATCTTTTTAGAGAAACAAAATCTTTTTTTAAATTATCACAACGAATTTTCGCAACGAATTTGGAAAATCGCAACGACAATTATAGACTATCGCAACAACAACTGTAGACTATCGCAACGAATTTGGAAAATCGCAACGACAACTGTAGACTATCGCAACGCGAAATGGAAAATCGCAACGCGAAATGCAACGCGAATTTACGATAGTGGAGATCGCAATGCGAATTAGAGATCGCATTACGATTTTGTTGATCATTTTCGCAAATCCAAAAAAAAATTAATCAAAATCGTATATTATATAAGATTTTTGGTCACTGAAATTATTTTCTCTAAATATTTTACACTGTTATAAAATCATTAAATTTTATTAAATTATTATAAAATAATCTTACAATAATTATTTTATAATAATTAGATAGAGAAAACATTATTTGAAAACAGTTCAGTTACCTATAGTGTACTTTATTCAAAGAAGAAATGGTATGCCACGTAATTTTGATAAAACTCAAACCCCTTTTACAAAAAGGTTACATTTTTTTTAAACCACCATGAAAATATAAATGAAAACGCCTCCCTTTTCTCCTTTGTATATATTTCTTTTTATGATTCTCTCAGAGCTGAAGAAAAAGGAAAAGAAAAGCAGAGCAAAGCAAAGCCAAAACTCAGTAACGCGCTACCCCGAATCACTTCCTTGTTATATCATTTTATTTGTTTCAATTCTGTTTTGTCATTTCCTTGCATGTAGATGCTCCTTGTTACTCCCCCAACTCAGTAACGCGCTACCCCGAATCACTTCCACTACTGTTTTTTCGACTTCTCTCATGTCTAATAAAACCACCGAGACTCCCTGTCTCGACCGCCTTTCGGGTGGGCCCGGAATTGGGCTTCGACTTAAATAAAATATTAGGAGTCGCCACCGATCATAAAAAAATATTTAGGTTGATCGGATACCATCTTAACTGATCTGCGTTTTACCAGAAATATGTCGGGCACGGGAGTCGGTTACAGTCAAGGAAGGATTAGCACCCTTGAACTGTCCTTTCGGTACCATTTAATTTATCGGTTGTCTTAATTACAAAAATTAAAATTAAAATTAAAATTTAAAAATTCGATTCAAATTACTTACCTTTGATTGATTGAAATTATCCTAAAAAGATCATAAATAAAGTAAAAAAAACTAAAACAAACAAACACAAAGAGTTAGTATTAAAATTTAAATAAAAAAAAGAGTAAATAAAAAAAATAAAAGAAAATTCGAATTAAAAAAAATTAAATTGGAAAGGATTAAAATTCATGGATCAAATTAATTATAGGAATAAGCTACAAAAGAAAAACATAAAATTAAGGGATTAAATAAAAAATAGAAATTTAAAGTACTAAAATAGCGAAACAGAAAATTAAAATACCAAACAATGATTAAACCAAATGTAAAATAATGACTAAAATAAAGTATTTGAAAGTATAATGACCAAAGTAGAGTTCTAATAAGAAAAACAACAAAATAAGTAATAACGGGAATAAAATAAAAGTATTAAAACATTAATGCTTAAACTAAAATAAAGTAAAAAAAATAGTGGGTGAAACATAAAATTAAAATAACATGATTATCCAAATTATAGTAAAATATAATTATGTTGGATAAAATACAAGAATACATAAGATAATAGCTAAAATGAAATAAACAAAGATAAACATAAAAAAAAAAAACTACTCAATCAGGAATAAATAGTTACTAAAGTAAATAGACATAAAATAAAGTGGCAAAATTAGAAATAAACAAAACAAGAAATATAACATGTTAGTGACTAAATCAAAAACTAATAGTGACTAAAATAAAGGAAATGAAAGTTACATGCATAAATCATCACAAAATATAACATATTGGTGATCGAATTGAAAATAACGAAAATAAAGCACCTAAAATGAAATAAAATAAAAACATAGAACTTTGGTGACTAGAATGTAAAAACAATGTAATATTAGAGGGACCTGGACGTGATTAACCACAAAAGTTTAATGACTGATTTTTAAAACAGCGATAATAGAGTGACTTAAACATAAATAGACCAAAAAAAACCATTATAAAAGATGACAATAAATTAAAGGATCCTATATGAGGTTAACCCAAAATTCAAATTAAAAGCACTCCCCCACCTGAATTAACTCCAGAACACGTGAACCCCAAATAAAACCCCCTTTCCCATTTTTTATTCTGTAACATATCAAACCCACAACCTTCTTCTAATTTTCTTTCAAGCAGAGCATCCATGGAGTCCCAAATTTCCAGTGAAATCGAGAGCCACACCAACCACTCGACTCTAGACCCGACGACGACGACACCTCTACTCCGACGTACTGCAGCAAGGTAACTTAACTCTCTATTTTTATTTTAATTATTTTTTTAAACTCGTGGAATTTACGTTAACTACGAACAAAATTACAAACTAAAATTCTTATTATTAGTTGCATTCGTATTGAACAAAAAAAAAAAATTAAAGAAAACTGAAATATAAACTGAACTACCTTAGGAATTGCTGAAAAAAAATTTGTATTTTATTACTATCCCCTTCTGAAAAACAAGAGTAATCCCTTTTACAATTCTTCCTCCTCCCCTTTTTCTTCCATTTCAATCGGCTATTTATAGCCATTTTCTTACATAGCTTTTACATAAAAAATAACAATTTGCAATCTGATCATACTTTAGATCAGATATCACATGCGTCTGTAGGATTGGTAGGAAACAAGCATTAACGCTCTGGGGTAGTGATGGCAGCAAGTTGCTTAGAGAAGGGCCAGGGCGAAATGAAGTGTCTACAGCTGCCCCTCTTTGCTCATTATCGTGTAACGATAATAGGGCAAAGATTAAAAGACACAAATTTCGTCCATATCAAATATCCTTTATCGTAGAGTTGAAATCCAATGTTGTTTGTGAGCACAATATCCTTCGTCGTGAAGTTGAAATCGTGGATGTTTCGAGTCCAATATCCTTCGTCATGAAGTTGAAATTGGCTCTGAATGAAATTGGGAAGCCCCTTCGCTGTGGAGTTGAGCTTTGAATTGGATATCATTCGCTATAAAGTTGAAATCCAATGTTGTTTGTGATGAAGTTGAAATCGTGGATGTTTCGAGTCCAATATCCTTCGTCATGAAGTTGAAATTGGCTCTGAATGAAATTGGGAAGCCCCTTCGCTGTGGAGTTGAGCTTTGAATTGGATATCTTTCGCTGTAAAGTTGAAATCCAATGTTGTTTGTGAGCACGATATCCTTCGTCGTGAAGTTGAAATCGTGGATGTTTCGAGTCCAATATCCTTCGTCGTGAAGTTGAAATTGGCTCTGAATGAAACTGGGAAGCCCCTTCGTTGTGGAGTTGAGCTTTGAATTGGATATCTTTCGCTGTAAAGTTGAAATCCAATGTTGTTTGTGAGCACGATATCCTTCGTCGTGAAGTTGAAATCGTTGATGTTTCGAGTCCAATATCCTTCGTCGTGAAGTTGAAATTGGCTCTGAATGAAACTGGGAAGCCCCTTCGCTGTGGAGTTGAGCTTTGAATTGGATATCCTTCGCTGTAAAGTTGAAATCCAATCTTCAGTAAATGGTGTTGCTTCGAGTCCAATATCCTTCGTTGTGAAGTTGAAATTGACTCTAGCTAGAACCTGCAAAGTTATGCATATATGCGATGCTATGGATGCAATGCTCTTAGGTATGCCTAAAATGCATATGCAACATATGCTATTTTGGGTTCTGGAGAGAAATCTCGATCTCCGATTGCCTGTCTTGTTGTGTCTTGATTCTGGAATCTTGAAGTTCTAATTCCCGATCTTGAATTCTTCAAATATTTAAATCTGATATTTTTATCCTTGATTTGGAAAATGGTTATCGACCATCTCAATTATGTGCATGAGCCTTGATCGACTTTCCGAGTACCTGTACTTTTCAAAGAGTCTTTGTACAGTAATATACAATTATCTTTTGCAAAAGTAAATAAATCATTAGGTTTAAATTCAACCCAAGATGCTCAAAAGGAATTGATTTAGAGAAAAGATTGTCTTTATTCATAAGGGAAAAAGAACAAATGACAAACATTTTGGAAAATGAATATATGATGAAGTGTGAATGAATGTTTTAGATCTTGATAATGTGGGTACTGTTGAACTGATAAGCCGTTAAGTGACCTTGAACGCAACCTTTGCCGAGGGATCTTTGAAGATGCGACAATGTTCAGGAAAGTGCAACCTTTCTCCGACTCGTTAATCTTGTAGAGGATTCAGATGCCGGGATGTCTGGATTTCTTGAATTAATATCCAAATCGCCCTTTCGGGTTTTCAACTTGGACCCATCCTTGGTTGCAAGACGCCCTTTACAGGTTTTCATCTTGAACCCACCTTATATTTTTTTGTTTTTTTTTTCTATTTAGTGTGCCCTTTCGGGTTTTCACCCTAAACATTTTTCTCTTTTTTGTTCTTTTTTGTTCTTTTTCTTTTTCGACTTAGGATGCCATCTCGAGTTTTCATCCTAAGCGAAGTATTTTTTGACTGCATCCGAATTGATAGGATGTGGCAGTTCTGGTCCGTCCATTTCAGCAAGGACAAGGGCTCCTCCGGAAAAGGCCTTTTTTACGACATAAGGTCCTTCCCAATTTGGCATCCATTTTCCTCTGTAATCTTTATGGATTGGCCAAATTCTCTTTAGCACTAGGTCTCCTTCACGAAATATTCTCGGGCGCACCTTCTTGTCATGTGCCCGAATCATTCGTTTCTGATAGATTTGACCGTGATGAATGGCTTTCAGTCTCTTTTCATCTATCAGGTTCAGCTGATCGTATCGAGATTGTACCCATTCTGCATCATCCAGTTTGACCTCTGTCAAGACCCGTAATGACGAAATTTCTACTTCAATGGGTAGTACTGCTTCCATTCCATAAGCTAGTGAAAATGGAGTTGCCCAGTCGAGGTTCGTACCGAGGTTCGGTAAGCGAACAAAGCAAAAGGCAATTTCTCATGCCAGTCTTTGTAGGTCTCAGTCGTTCTCTCCACTATCTTTTTAATGTTTTTGTTTGCTGCTTCTACTGCTCCGTTCATCTTTGGTCTGTAGGTAGTAGAATTGTGATGCTTTATGTTGAATTGCTCACAAACAGCTTTCATCATTTTGTTGTTCAAGTTTGTAGCATTATCAGTAATGATTCTTTCAGGTAAACCATACCGACATATGATTTCTTTCTTCAAAAACTTGCAAATAGTGGACTGAGTAACACTAGCGTAGGAAGCAGCCTCTACCCACTTGGTGAAATAATCAATTGCCACGAGAATGAAACGGTGGCCATTCGAAGCCTTCGGATGGATTTGCCCGATAACATCCATGCCCCACATAGAAAAAGGCCATGGTGATGTCATTACATGAAGTGGATGAGGTGGAACATTTATTTTATCTCCGTAAATCTGACACTTATGACATCTTTTAGCGTAGTTGATGCAATCACTTTCCAGTGTTGACCAAAAATATCCGCATCTCATTATTTGTCTTGACATCATGTGCCCATTTGCATGTGTTCCACAAACTCCGTTATGTACTTCTTCCACTATCATTTTTGCCTCTTCTGCATCTACACACCTTAATAGGACTTGGTCATGGCTTTTCTTATACAAGACATCCCCGTCAAGGATATATCCAGCTGCCATCCTTCTAATGGTTCTTTTGTCAGTCTCGGTGGCTTCCTCTGGATAACTCCGATTCTTGATGTATTGCAGAATGTCATGGTACCAAGGCTTAATGTCTTTCACCTCTTCGACTTGGTAACAATGAGCCGGGTACTTATACGATTGCATGTCAATTGGCATCATTTCAG